GGCAAGGTTCGTAGGAGGAAAAGAGGGGAGGGGAAGAGGGGTAGGAGGAAGAGGAGAAGACGGGAGAAAAGGGAAGGAGAAGATGAGAGAGAGGAGGGAGGGGAACAGAAACAGGGGAGGGAGGAGAAGGAGAGGAAGGGAGAAAGGGGAATGAGAGGAGGGGAGGGAGGGGAAGGAGGAAAAGCGGAGAGAGGGGAAGCTGAACCGGGGAGGTAGGGGAAGGAGAAGAGGGGAGAGAGGGAGAGGAGCCCACAGAGGAGGTAGCTATGGGGGTCCCGGCGGTGGTGGAGGGGAGGAATGCGGAGCCGCAACAGCTGTCTCCAGCCGCGAGAAGAGTGATACAGAAAGTCAATGCACAGAGAGGTAGAGGGTCTGATCCTGCAATCAGATCGATTCCTGTCGAGCAATGGACCGATGACGAGTGGAAGGAGTATGTTGGCATCACAAGGACATTCTGCGCAGACGATACCCATACTGTTCACTCCGACCATCTCGCCAAACATCATTTGGTGGGCTCTCTCTCTCTCTCTCTCTCTCTCTCTCTCTCTCTCTCTCTCTCTCTCTCTCTCTCTCTCTCTCTCTCACTATCTATCTAGCTAGCTAGCTAGCTAGCTAGCTAGCTATAATAACTGTCCATCTATTTATCTAGCTAGCTAGCTATCTCAGATGTGCATGTCTCCTCAAAGTGTCTCTTCATGTTCTTCTGTCGGACGTTTATGCTTCCACTTGCCACTTGCTGAGTGGTTGCTTGACTACACTTTGAATTGCTTTCTTATGATGCATTCTTTGTTGGCTCCTCTCTCTCTCTCTCTCTCTCTCTCTCTCTCTCTCTCTCTCTCTCTCTCTCTCTCTCTCTCTCTCTCTCTCTCTCTCTCTGTTTTCAAGTTTTTCTGCTTCTGTTTGGTCTTTGGTTTTCCGTTTGCTGCTTGGTCGTCGCTGTTCTGGGTCAAAGATTGATTTTTTGTTTGTTACATAGATTGCTTCGTTCGGTTCTGTTATTGCTTAGTTATTAATGGAATGGATTAATCAATTTGAATTCCTTTGGGGTTGTTGCATTGTTGTGCAGTGTGTGTGTCGTCTGTGCCGATGTGGCAAGCATCCATGTCCTAAGAAGCCATGGTCCTCTCATTTCGTTGAAGACCCGCTGTCAGAGTACCGACATAAATACCCCCCGCGGGATGTGGGACCTCGCCCGAGACGGCCTCCACGGCCGCTGGAGGTAAGCGATGCACCCTTCATCGACAGGACAACTCACCGAGACGACTTCACACCTAAGCCTCACCAGAAGAGGGATCCCACTTGGCGGGAGAAGCCTAAAGATCCCGACTTTCCACCCCGGGTGGTGAATCCGGGATCAGAGTACCAGACCAAGTACAAGGAACACCCAGTCCTCCCAAAGTTCTGCCGAGATCGGGAAAGGAGTTATGCCGGAGAGGTCCCTTTCCTTGGCAATTCCACTTACGACACCGACTACGACCCGAAGAAAACGTCCAACGTCGAGAGAAGTAGGCAAACTCCTCCCGGGAGGGGTGACAAGTGGTCGAAACTCCCTAGAAAGTTCGATGAAGGGACCATTTACAAGGATGAGTATCGCAAGTGGCCATTGCAGAAGAGGAAACCCAAAGAGAAGGCACCCATCGAGACGCTACCCTTTGCTGGGGCCTCGACGTACGACACTGATTTCGACCCCAAAAAGGCCTCGAAGGTCGAGAAGGGCCGCCAAACCCCCTTGGGGAGGAATGAAATGTGGGCGGAACTTCCTCGGAAGTTTGATGGAGGGTCCATATACACGGACGACTACCTAAAGTGGCCGTTGGAGAAAAGCCCCCCCAGAGAGAGGGCACCACCCCCTGAGATACTGCCATTTGCCGGGGCTTCAACGTACGACACCGACTACGACCCCAAACAAGCATCGAAGGTGGAGAAGGCCCGACAAACTCCACCAGGAAGGTGCGAGAGGTGGTCGCGCCTTCCACGAAAGTTCGATGGAGGTACCATCTACACAGACGAGTATCTGAAGTGGCCCCTGCAGAAGAGGAAGGGCAAGGAGAAGCCAACGATCGAGACTATACCGTTTGCCGGGGCCTCGACGTACGACACAGACTACGACCCGAAGAAGACATCGAAGGTGGAGAAGGGCCGGCAGACCCCCTTAGGCAGGTGTGAAAAATGGGCCAAGCTCCCACGCAAATTCGACGGGGGTACCATTTACACCGACGAATATCGCAAATGGCCCCTCGAAGAGCGGAAACCCAAGGAGAAGGTGCCCATCGAGACCATTCCATTTGCTGGGGAATCTACCTACAACACGTCCTTCCAGCCTTGGATGTTGCTGCCGTGCCCGGTGCTGCTGCGCGAGCCCGCCAGCATATGGGACGGGAAGCATCTTTACTACGAGAACAAGAAGAATGGACAAACCAAGCCAAGCCGGAGAAACTAAGATTCTATGCTGTGATGCCAGCCGCTGCCTCCTGCTCCTCCTCCTCCTCGTCCTCCTCGTCCTCCTCCCCCTCCTGCTAGTCTGGATGCAACACATTATGTAGGGGGGGGGCGCGCATTTTTACCAGCTTGGTCATGCAAGAATCCTCGGGGGCCAAGCCAGGGTTTTGGTTTGACCCCCACGCGGGGACCGTCGACCCACGGGCCCCCGAGGGTGCGGGGAATCTTTACTGCTGCTGAACAGCAACTACCTCTGGGCAGATAACAAAACAAAGGCCAAGGCAGAGAGAGAGAGTACATCAACGAAAGACAAACACATTGCTATTAAGGCGGTTGTCGTAGATGGTGAACTGATGTTTGGCGCTGGCGGAGTGGGGACCACCGTTCATAACGGTCGCTGGCGGAGTCCGAGTCTGGCCCTGACGTTTCCCTGCATACTGCTATGTGGATGATGCCTACTACCTGTGGTAGTGGGAGGAACAAAGCTACTATGTTTGCTGGCTCTTCCTTTTGCGAACAGATAGTGGAATCTTCGGGAAGAAGAACAGCTCAGTTGGTGCCGTCTGCCTCCTCCTCCTCCTCCTCCTCCTGCTCCACGTAAATACATAGTGACATGGGCATGTATGTTGTTTCCCATATCTGGACGGCAACCATCTGAGAGTCTACACTGAGAACCGCAGAAGCCTAGGAATGCCGGGTGGACGGAGCAATAAGCGGCTTGACTGCCACCTCCTCCTCCACATAAGAGGGAGAAGGAGAAGCATGGGAACAGAGGAGACTCTGCCAGATTTACGACCCTTTCTCCTCCTCTCCTCGCCATCCTCCCCCTCGTACTGTTTCCTCTCTTCCTCCTCACTTCTCCTCCCCTCCTCCTTGTACTATTACTCTTCCTCACCTCCTCCTCCTCCTCCTCCTCCTCCTCCTCCTCCTACTCTTCCTCCTACTCCTACTCCTACTCCTACTCCTACTCCTACTCCTATTCCTCCTACTCCTACTCCTACGCCTACTCCTACTACTCTTCCTGTCCTCCTCTTCCTGCTATCTGGAAGGAAAGCAAGAGTGGACTGTGAACAACTGACACAATCGAGCAAAGCCGGCTGGATAAAGGTGCAATTACGGCAGCTTCCAAGGATGAAAGATACGACAACGGACTTCGAGGAGCTTTTGGGTCGAGAGTGGGCTCGACGGTGCTGCTGGTTTAACATGAATGTGTTCGCCTCCTCTCTTTTCTCTCCTCAGAACGGAATATGCACAGGCATTGCTGCTCGATAAAGGTGGCAAGCCTCTTTGATGGGAGAGCTGCAAGAGAAATGACCACACTGAGGTGAACTTTGAGAAAAAGGAGCAACTACTGCCTTCTTCACGCAAATGAAATGCATGGTCACTAAGGCAGTATTTGGGGCAATTTTCAGCCTAGACACCGCAACAACGACCATTCGTTCTATTCGGGGGAAGCTGGTAGTCGCACTGCCACCCCTCACCTAAATTCAATCATATATATGATCTTGGAGAGGGCTGGGGAAGAGAGGAGAGGTTTTGGAAGTGCGGGGTGCTTTCGAATCGATGGCTAAGAGTGGAAGGGAGCCACAGAGAGCATTCAAAAAACGGATGGACACTTTCCAAAAAAGGAATGCTCTCAGGGTCAAGCAGATGAGGAATGCAATGTTGCTAGTGCTGGCTTGCAAGTCAGCTAGCAGACTCAACTCACACCGGAGGATTATGAAATCCTCCAAGCAGAAGAACTTCAGGATGAGTTGCAGCGACAGTTGGATGAAGCAGCAAAGAGAAGAAGAAGAGATATTTGAGAAAGAACAGACTAGGGAGTAGGAGACAGGAGCTAGGCCGATTAGAAGCATTAGATGAGTCAGCACTAGACCGTGTGATGCGAGCGCTGCGTAACTCGCTTCTTTGCAGGCAGAAGCGTAGGCTATCCAGCAGGAAGTGCTGGTTGAACTAGTGGCAGGCCAGAAGCAGGTTCTGGCTGCACTGCAGGCTCCTCGTCCCATGATGAGGCAGCCTCAGTATGCTATAGCTCCCCTATCAGTTGCGGGTCCATCAATGACGTCGTCGCCGGCTGGGCCCTCATTCTCACCTATGTTTGGTATGCCCCCTCCAGGTGGTTATGTAGTGACTAGTGGTCCGGTCCATAGCGTCTCTACCGTACCATCCACTACAGTGGTTAGTACAGTCCGACTGTCAAGCCAGACCCGGGTTAGTGTTCAGCAACCTGTTTCGGTGGCTATGCAGCCACTGCAGCAAGCCCCTGGGCCAATGCAGCCTATGCAGTGGATGCCCAAAATACCCTTGTTGAGTCCTAAGCCCTTCTCCGGCGACAGGAAGAAGGATGAGGACTTAGACACCTGGGTAAGGACGGTGCCTACCTATGTGAGGCACAAGCTTACCAGGCCGGAGCAAGAAGTTGTAGTGGCTGCCTCCTTTCTAGAGGGGTCAGCAGCCCGCTGGTTGAATGGCCTAGTGCAGCAGCAGGGCTACGGTCAGAACTTCAATGCCTGGGCCCAGGCCCAGACATTGGAAGAGTTCGTATGGTCCGTATATAACAGGTGGCATGACCCTCAAGGGGCTCAAAAGGCCACCAATGCAATCAACAGTCTTTGTGCCAAAAGGTACAAGAATGTTCGTGAGCTAACGGACACCGTAGAACGTCTGCTCGTGGTACCTGGTGTGCGCTATGACCAGCAGGTACTCCTCACGAATTACCTTAGATGTCTACCTTCAGAGGTAAGGACAAAGCTGGTAGACGAGGCCTATGTCGAGCAGCACAACTTCGCCTCTTTTCGCAAGAAGGCCTTAAATATAGAGGCAAAATTGGGGTCCGCGCATCAGAGTCAGGGAGATGGTCGGAAGAAGAGACTACCCCAGGACTGGAAGAAGAAAGGTCAATTAATGTTTGTCGACCACGATGGTCAGGCGATAGAAATTGACGACTTCCCAGACCTTGGGGAGGAGACAGAGCACGATGGGCCCAACGAGACTATGGATGGGGGAGTAGTGGCACCCATCAAAGAAAAGGCTAGGGGGACCGGGAAGAGGAGGGTAGGCCGGTCTACGGGTCCAGGGACCAAGGTACACCCGCATGGGTGAAACATGGCTTAGAATATGAGGTGTGGAGGGACTGAGTCGCTAGGGGCACTTGCATGAACTGTGGCAATTATGGCCACACGTCCCGAACGTGCCGAGGCAAAAAGGTCCTGACGAGGGTAGCCTCACCAACGGTGGTGGGACTATCTTCGAACTCTGGCGGTGCTTCTGCGAGCGCTTCGCAGGGAAACACCTCGGGCCAGTAGGAGTTTTAGCCGCTCTTACTCGCACTGAAGTGGTAACATTGCCTTCCCCACTTCAGGCGTTGGCCAAGGCTAGTGACCCACGTATCACCCCGCAGACATATTCAGACCCACCGACGCTCTGCTCGAGAGATGTGTCTGAGGCCCTAGAAGAGTTAGAGACTGAGTGGTCAGGGAAGGACCCAGAGACTCTTGGGCAATGATCAGTGGAGGTCCAAAGGGTGAACACTTCGTGGTAGAGGTTGATGCGCAAGGTGGGCGCCTTCGCAGACATAGGCTCTACATGAAACTTCATCAGTCGTGCTTATGTGGATAAACTGCGCTTAGGGGACCAAGTGCAGCGGCATAGCAGAACTGTAGCTTTTACGCTAGCCAACAAGCACCAAATGGTAGTTAAAGATTATGTCAAGGACGTAGTCTGTTCCTTCTCTCATGGAGGAGGGGAAGTGAGGCACAAATTCTCATTGCTCGTTAGCGATGAACTGCCCTTCGACATGTTACTAGGCATGTACTACCTCGAGGTTGCTCAACCTCAGTTTGATTGGGATAGGAAGGTGTTGATACACAAGCTGCCAAACGGTAGGACCGTTAGACTGCAAAAGTATAAAGCTAGCAGTCTAGTGGAAAACTACGGCTGCATGTGTGCCTCCTCTTTCTATAACTACTACAAGCAGAATCGCAAGGAGGGCATGTATCTATCTTTGTCTCTGAGAAAGGGGAGGCCGTAAACACAACCCATGAGATAGAATCAGTCGCCGCGCAATATTCAGACCTTTTTTAGAGCCCACAGGCGTGGTAGAAAGGGAGGTCGTCCATACAATAGAGGTTGTCCCAGGTAGCAAGGTACCCAGAGGACAAATCTATAGGATGTCTCCTGCAGAGTTGGATGAGCTCCGCCGCCAGCTCAAGGAGCTCACAGAAAAGGGATGGATTCGGCCTAGTACCTCCCCTTGTTCAAAAGAAGGGAGGTACCCTGAAGATGTGCATTGACTATAGGGGCCTCAATGCCATCGCCGTTAAGAACGCGGAACCCTACCCCGCATCGATGACCTCCTGGATAGAGTGCAGGATGCCGGTACTTCACCAAGATAGATCTGAAGTCTGGATACCATCAAATTGCCATTAGACATGAGGACCAGCACAAAAACGCCTTTCAGACCAGATACGGTCTGTACAAGTTTGTGGTGATGTTCTTTGGCCTATGCAATGCACCTGGTACTTTCAAGCACGTGATGAACAAGATATTTCATGAGTACTTAGATAAGTTTATCGTCGTGTACCTCGACGATATTCTTATCCTTAGTAGGATTGTAGAGGAGCATGTTGAGCACTTGAAAAGAGTGCTAGATCTCCTTAGACAGCACCAGTACAAGGTTACCTTGGAGAAATGCGAGTTCGGTCGCACCAAGATTTTGTACTAGGATCATGAAATCTCAGCAGATGGATTGAGGCCGGATGATGCCAAGGTGGCCTGCATACGTGACTGGCCCAGACCTCAGACTGTTACTGAGGTCAGATCGTTTTTGGGGATGATCGGCTACCATCATCCGTTTGTGAAGAACTATAGTACTATAGCTTCCCCATTAATAGATCTAACTCGACTTGACACCCTTGGGAGTGGACTGAAGAGTGTGAGGCGGCCTTCAGGAAACTGAAGTATGCCCTGACACACTATGAGGTTCTTAAACTTCCGGATCCTGATAAGCTATTTGTCGTGACCACAAACGCCAACCAATATGGCATGGGCGCGGTCCTTGCGCAAAAGGAGGGGCCCAAGTTGAGACCTATCGAGTACATGAGCAAGAAGATGCCATCTTAGAAACTGAGCGTGAGCTCTATGCCTTGTATAGAGCCCTGGTACATTGGAGACACTATCTCCTAGGCAAAAATTCTTCTAGGAGATCTGACCATGAGACCTTGCGCTGGATCAAGACACAACTGGTACTCTCCGACGCACTCAAGAGATGGATACAAGTGATAGACATGTTTGACTATCAACTGGATCCAATCAAAGGTGAGTGCAACAAAGTAGCTGATGCACTATCTCAGCGGGCAGATTATCTGGGCGCTCTAGTGACTGAATTTGGCATATCCAACGACTTAACTCGATCATTGGTGGAAGCCTATCAGCAAGATCCAATTATGTCTGAGATCATCCGTAGATTCCAAGCAAAGGACAAAAAGACCTTGGAAGAATTTACGATGGTAGACGGCTTGCTGTTTCTTGAGAAGGCAGAGAACAAAATGTGTTCCCAGTAGTGAGTTTTTGCGTAGTTTATTTTTAGGGGAATGTCATGATGCAACTGGTCATTTTGGTTATAAAAAGACTTCAGCTAATCTAGTGCAGAAGTTCTGGTGGCCTACTATGATGCAAGATGCAAAAGGTACGTTGAAACCTGCCAGGTTTGCCAAAGGGACAAACCCAGGACTCAGGCTCCGCTCGGGCTCATCAAGCCCTTGCCGATTCCTGAAGGTCCTGGTCAGAGTGTATCCATGGATTTCATGGATACCCTTGTGACTAGCAGGTCAGGAAAAAGGCACATCTTTGTGATAGTGGACCGCTTTTCTAAGTACGCAGGACTTATCACTATGCCAGAAACTGCTAAAACTGATTACGCCATCAAACTGTTTCTGGATAACTGGGTCAGGGATTTTGGACTACCTACGTCGATAGTAAGTGACAAGGATGTAAGGTTTACCAGCGAACTGTGGCAAACGACAACTGAACAGATGGGTACCAAGCTCCAAATGACGTCAGGGAATCACCCTGAGTCAAATGGCCAGGCAGAACAGATGAACCGGGTAGTACAGCACCTGCTTCGGCATTATATTAAGCCGAGTCAGGATGACTGGGACGAGAAGTTACCTCTCGTCGCCAGCCTGTACCACAATGCCGTGCACAGTACTACTGGTATGACTCCCAACCAGCTGCATCTTGGTTGGAAGCCCAAAAGTGCACTTGACTTTCTGCTACCAGAAAGGCAACCCACTGCAGCACTTGGCAGCATAGAGTTTCCTGTGCAGTATGAGCAGATGCTGCAGCAGGCCGTTGAACATATCAGGAAGTCTCAGGATGCTATGATTGCATGTGAGAATAAACATAGACGGCCCTCTAACTTTCACGTAGGTGATAGAGTCTGGGTGAAGTCATCTGAACCGGGTCAAGAGATGGGGATTTCACGAAAACTGATGCCACAGTACTTTGGGCCCTGGGAGATCCTGGACATTGTGGGGGATCAACCGGATGGGCCCTCATACGTGATTCGCACCGCTCCACACTTGCGCACTTACCCTGTTTTCCATGCATCCAAGTTGGCACCTTTCGCTGCCACAGATCAGTTTCCCTCCAAGAGATCAATTCTGCCCCCAACCATGGATGGCGAAGTGGACATAGACCAGATCGTGGAGCATCGTCTGATGCCTGTTCCTCGACCACCGGGCAGAGGCTGCCCTCCTAAGCCAAAAATGCAGTACCAGGTCAGATTCAGACATCATCTAGACCCCAACGAAGATCGGTGGTTCACCAGAGAAGAACTCATGAGAACTGCACCTCAAGTCATTGCAGGCTATGAAAGAGATCTTAAAGGGAAGATGCCTGCAGAATAGAAAACTTCTCAGAGGACTATCGAAGTACAGGAGGAGGGAATGCGAGGAATCTGGGTCCTCGGCAGGCCTACGGGGCCCCTGCAGCAAATGTGCCCGCCCTAAGTGAAGGCGGGCCTAACAAATTACGAGAGGCCCTTGGCTGTCAATTTCATATTTGGGGTCCAGGCAGTTTCGACGCGCCAGTTGGTTGGAGGAAAACACAGGCCTAGCAGCGTGGAAATTCCCAGGCCTTCTAGGCCTTTCCGAAAGCACAGGCCCTGGGCGAGTTTCACAGCCTCATACACAGACAGTTGGGAGGCCCAACCGAATGAGGCCCAGTAGCTGCACTAGAGGCGCAGCATCCTGGGGTCTACCGAAAGCTTCTGGGCCCAGGCCAGTCCAGCCAGGCTGCCGAATGAGGCAGGCTCTTTCCATATAGGAAAGAACTCGCTGCCTGGCCAGGCATTGGGGGCACTCGCATGCTGGCGGCAGCGCTGCTGGAGCTGAAGCTCGCGGGCTGCTGCTAGGGCTGAGAGGCGAGGTGCGAGCACGTGCGGTCGTGCAGGGAGCAGGGCGCTGCTGAGGGCAGCGCCATAGCCCAGCCTTCATAGCTGGCGGGCTTGGATGTACAGTGAGGCGCAGGGGTGGTCTTCGGGTGTTCAATAAGGGAAGACGTGGGAGAGAGTCAGGGGAGAGAGAGAAGGATGATGATGATGATGATGTGAGGGCACATACCTGGTATTGGCGATGGTTCTGCATGGGCGACATCTTCAAGTACTTCGGGTGCTGCTGACGTCAACAGTTGCATTGTCAATTAGTAGGCTAGTAGTAGCTGTGTAGGGAGTAGGCTGGGCAATGAGTGCCAGGTAGGGAGATAGGGACTGGATACATATGTTGGTGGTGGCGAGAGCAAGCTCTCATTGACATTGGTTTTCAGTGCTACGATTCTCCACTGGTATTATATTGGTGCAATGCTGCTTTCTGAACACTATGATACGATCTGGCTTTCAATGTGATTGTGCAATTTGAATATTGTCATCTCGCTTCTGTTCATTCTCCTTGCATTAGCGTTCTCTAGTATTTAGTAGATTCAGTGAGATGGGTTTCCTGCCAGCACACGAACTCTGGTGGTTCCACCCCATACCAGTCTGTGACTTCCGCGATGTTGCTCCATTTTTCTGGGTTGTCTAGAATTGTAGCCAGGCCGTTAATATTCCCATGACACAACCTTGACCTCAGGCTTGTGTTTGGACAGTGCATGCTGAGTTTTCCTTCTCTTTGTCCCTCCCTCCACTCCAGCAGCCTCCATGTAGATGTACTATCCGTTCCCCGCCCTGCTACCTATCCTGATTAGCTTCAGGACGCCTGAACACCAAATCGATTCTTGTCGCAGTGTCCGCAACCCTCATTTCCAAATAGTCCGGCTGCCACGAGAACGTTTCGTGCTTGACCAAGATCACCGCACTCCTAGCCACTGTCTCTGGAGCCACATCCCCACTTAGCAGGCCGTAGGGGATGGATGGTTTCCACCACCTGCCAGGGCAACCATACCAAATCCCCCTTCAAGTCAGCCTCACTCACAGTGAAGCTGGATAAGGATCGGGCTGAAGTCTGCTTCTTGCGTGGTGCCACTTGCATCCTCCCATACTTCCTTCTCGCCCTTGACATTGCCGACCACATATAATCTTTGACGGTATGTGGTCGGAGAGTGCTTCTTTCAGAGCCCCGCTTGAGCACTTACTTTCCTCCAGGGTAATTAGCTTGAGGGAGCGAGGGAGCTCAACCTCCCAGATGGAATAAGTGTTATTCCACTTGCAAGGTAAGACTGTATCTGTGTTTTGGTCCGTTCCTGGCATCCAATTTGGCCGCCCCTTCAATCTCTTTTTGATGAGTCTAAGCTATCTTCAGGAGATTGATTGTTCCCTCCTCCAACTGTGCATTCTGATCTTTCAGTATGTTCACCTGTGCTTGTACTACCGTTGCCCTGCCTCCTCAAATCTTGCGATGTGTCCTCTGTCCCTTCTTCCTGACTGTTGTGCGACTCTTCCGTAGTCGTTTGCTGCTGGTCCCCTTTGCCCCCTTCCTTGCTCTTCCCCTGCTTCCATTGTTTTTTGCTTTGCTTCCTTTCTTCTTTCATTTGATACGACTTGGGCCACTCAAACTGTTTCATGTATGCTGGCTCACTGAGCTGCATTTCATTTGTGTTGCGCAGGGCTTTCCAGCCGTATTGCTCTGCACAGATTAAGTTCCTGCTCACGCTGAAGCATTTCTAACTTATTTTCTGCTGCCGACGTGGCCTGACGCAAGTTGCGGAGATGTTTATGATGTGCCAGCTGCACTTCGCATTCCACCCTGCGCTCCCCTGTCAGCAGCTGTACGCATCTACCCACCAATCCAGCATGCCTTGATCCTCATCCTGTTCATCTGTCCATTCTCCATTATCTTCCTCCTCCTCTTCCTCTGCCTGGGATTCCGCTTCCTGGTCTGAAACAGATTGTTTGCCCGATTTTCGGCTCCCCATTTCGACGTCGGTGGACTTGCTCCTCTTCTTGTCTGTTTCCTCCGGTTGACTTGTTCTACCTGAGCTTTCCCCTGCTGATATGTCCATTGCGTCCCCTGCCTGACTACTTAGCACCTGGTGGGATTGAACCTCCTTATTCTCTTGCATGTCTGACCCCTCTAACTGGGCTCCTTTTCCAGTTTTTCTTCCTGAGCCTTCCTTTTCAAGCAGGCAGCTATGATTGTAGTTCTCTCCCTCCTTTTCTTCATACTTCTTTTGCCCTTCTGTTCTCCATGAAGGCCAATTCTGCTGCCAATCCCACTTATGTAATTCCTCCATTGTTTGCAGTCTTTGCTTATCATCTTGCAGCATGCTTTCATCCACCATCGGTTTGAGTAGAAAACCCGTACCCTTATCATCTATCCTTTTAGCCCCCTTTTGTCTCCATCTGCTGTCGTAGGGTGGATGAATGTCTGGCTTGTTGTTGGGGGTCCTCGACAGAACCCAAACCCACTTCGGATTTTCGAGGTTATCATCGAATATCCATCCGCGATACTGTGACGTGCTGATATACCAGGCCCCTGGTTTGTTGTCACATTCCCCCAGCATCGACTCTGAGCAGTGCCTTCATGTTAGCCTCGCCCTGCTGGGGACATTAGTTTCCCAAGTGACCCCTGCCTCTGCATTTGAAGCTAAAAATGTTCCCTTTTTGTGGAGACGAACCCTGTTCTGCCCATTTTTCCAGAAGATCCACCTCCGGGAATTTGGGGGGTGCTCCAGACTTGACCTCCAGACAAGCTACCTGCGAATCGTCATTTGGCGCTAAGGAGTCCGGATTGGCCGGAAGCCAATAAAAAATTGGATTATTTGGATATTCCTCTGCCAACCTTTTCTGCGCCAGGCTATGCATTCCTTCGGATAGGTTATCAAATTGCACCCAAAAGTGCTCTTTGAACATCGTCTCCCTGTGTCTCGAGGTTTCTGCTTGCAGTAGCCTCTGTGGCTTCCATGATTGGATTGTCACTACTGCCCCCCCTGCATTCTAGAGAGTCCAAAGACAGCGGATATCTTGCGTACGCATGCCTGGTCAACGCACAACAGCATCACGATAGACGTGCCCCTCATATGGTATGAGACCTCCGATTCCATCCCTGGTATGCTTTCAAATTCCCTCACTCCCCCCATTACCCACCTTCTTTTTTTCATTTTGGGAGAGATCTTGGTTTTTACCTGTAAAATTGAACAATACCGCGTGCGTCTCGTACAGCTCGTTCAGCGTTGGGATGTCCTGCTCTGGATTTTCACAAACATCGACCTCCTGCTCCTTACCATCCAGTCCTTTGATGATCTCCTTCGTAATATTGACCTGGCCGGTTATTCGTGTTTTTTTCCATCAGGAAATCCATCACCCGTTGGCCCAGTGCCTTCGCTCTAGATGAGCTGACTCCTGTTGATGCTGCTGCTTGTTGTTGACCCCTCCATTGACTCTTCCCCTGACCCCATCCCTGGTTGCTTTTCATAGTCCTCCCGATGTTGGTCTGACATGCCTCTTTTTGGTGCTGACGTGAACAACTGCGCCATGGTTGGTTTCCCTACCCCTTGATCACCACTATTTCTGATTTTCTGTCTTCCCCTTGCCTCCCCTTACTCTCCAGAATTCTTAGTTGTTAGCTCTCTTTTCCGTTCGCCTATTCTACTACTCCTGTCTTTTACCCCTGTGATTGAATTTCTCCTTGCTAATGCCCCCCTAAACCTGCTTTTAGGATTTTTGTGTTACCCGTTTTGTGTTCCGCTGCTTGCTCCTCCTTGGTTTTCCTGAAGCTGTTTCGGCCGCTTCTCTGCTTTCCGCTACTTGCCCACTCGGTTTCCTTTCTGCCAGTTCGACTGCTATGGCCGCCCCTCTTCGGCGTTGCCCTTCCCCTTCCCCTGTCCTGCGATCAGCTCTGTCTTTCGTTGTCCGTCTTGATGGCCACTCCCAGTTCTTTCCGTACCCTTCTTCCTCCCCCCTTCAATCCTTCTTCGCCCACCACTAACTTCACCCACGTAATGGAGTCTTCGTGAAGTCCTCGGCGCCCCAAGCACGTACATCGCCTCCCCCCTTCGATCCTTCTTCTCTCACAACTAACTTCACCCACGTAATGGAGTCTTCGTCAAGTCCTCGGCGCCCCGAGCATGCACCTCGCTGTCCACCTCCTGCCACGTTCTCCCATCCTGACACCCCACCCCCGTAAGTCGCGCTCTACCTCCTGGCGCCGCCCCGCGGCGACACCCCCCTCGGCCCTCGCTCCCCCGTGAGGTTGGCGCGATGCTTCCGCGGCCGTGGCGTCCCCTTACCTCGTGCTTGTTTTCGAAGCTTTTCCACGATGGCGAGTTTCCTTGCGGCTGCTCGCTAACTGTCAGCGCAAGTGCTTCTATCTTTCTGTTCATCTGATTGCGTCTGGATCCGTGGTTAGTCTTTTTCTTTTTTTGAAGTGGTTAGTATCTTAGGGAGGCACGACCAGTTGGGTGGATATAACCTTACAGTTATATTGCCCCCTAGTCTTACAGCTATATTGTGTGGATTTCTATATCCCTATCCCTATGCTCATAAAGCAGAGAGCGGGTCT